ATGGGGGGGGGCGCTTGTCTGGTTTCCCGACTTTACCAGCATCGTCCCTCGCTTGAAATCTTCCGACGTGAGTGTGACCGTCTTCTTCCCTGAGCTGATGCCGAGAGGGTCCTGGAGGTCCCTGGGCCTGCAGTTTGCGTTCTAGGAGAGGAAGACAGGCTTTAGCAGGCGACGCGAGCTGGCGGAGGGACACACATCCGTGCAATGACACGAAGGGGCCGTGAGCGACAGTCAGTGATCACCCGCGCACGTGTGCGATGCTCCACCCACCTCCAGGCAGCACCCCGGTTTCTGAGCCACTTTTGAATTGTAATAGATCGCGGCGAGGATGGAACGGAAAGGACGGTTGGCTGCTGGTAGAACTCACTATCCCATAAGCCAGCGGTTCTCAGCCGGGGTGCCACGGCACGCTGGTGTGCTGCGAGAATTTTTAAAACATGCAATACCTGCCCGGCAGGTGTGGCTCAGAGGGCGAGTGTGGACCTATGAACCAGGACACGTGCCCGGGTTTCGGGCTCGATCCCCAAGTGGGGAGCGTGCAGGAGGCACCCCATCAATGGTTCTCTCTCATCATTGATGTTTCTCTCTCTCTCCCTGTCCCTTCCTCTCTGAACTCAATAAAATATATATATATATTATTTAAAAAGAAGTCTCTTTTAGTTTGAGCACCTCCAACAAATTAAAGGTGTAACAAACATTTCAGGCACAAGTCAAAGATGGGTTATCTGAAACCCTCTCTGATTGGCTAGTGACCCCAGATGACACCCCCGAGCCCCAGACCTGGGCTCTGGGAAGGCGACCCACAGGGAAATAGGTCCATGGCGGAGGGGGTGAAGAATGATCTCAGCTGAGATTGCCCTGGATTTAGGGGGGCTCCCAACCCACTGGTGAGCCTGCTTGTACGGAGACAGGAAAGGGAAGACATGGCAGAGCCTGGGTTACGCCGCCACAGGTGAGGGACGCCAGGGTCGGCAGCAGCGGCCCCAGGCCTCCAATGGTGAGGGGACATATTTCTGCTGTCCTGAGCCACCCGGTTCAGAGCGATCTGTCACCCCAGCAGCTGCAGGGAAGGAATACACCTGCTCACAGGGGAGGTTACTGGTATTTAAAATGGTTCCAAGTGCCTCCCCACGCTCCTCTGGTAAAGCTCTCCGTCACAGGGGCCCGCAGAACAGGAAGCTGTAAACACAACGGAGAAGGGAGCAGCGTGGCACGACCCGCGGGCCCGGGACTTACGTCGGACGAGGCCCACCGGCGTGGGTACAGCACAGGAAAGCCGTCTGCCGTCAGGTTGGGGAAGGACACGGACAGCCTGAGCTCTGGCATCGGGAAGTGCCCGCTTTTCCTGACCTGCAGGGAGAAGCAGAGGTGTGACCTTGTCCCCTCCGCAGCGCCCCGTCCAGCCACATGGACGCGGGCCTTCCCTGCCAGCAGGTGGTGTGACGCTCTGAACCCCCCAAAGGAATGCAGTTGGTGTATGACGCTGAACAGAGAATCGGCATCATAAACAAGCCCAAAACAGGGGTGCCTGATGGTCGGCGATCATGCACACCAGGCACAACCACACGCTGTCCTGCACCCTCCACTCCCCAACAGGATCCAGACGCAAGAAAAACCAGAATTAATGTTTTTCTTTGTCATTTTCCAATACTATGAACAATTCCAGAAGAAAATTGTTGAAATAAAGAGCATTACTTTAAGACAGTGGCCGGCAAACTGCGGCTCGCGAGCCACATGTGGCTCTTTGGCCCCTTGAGTGTGGCTCTTCCACAAAATACCTACTTCTGCACATGGGACACGAAGTTTCAATCGCACTGTATGTGCACGCCCGCACGCTCGCGAGCCACATGCGGCTCTTTGGCCCCTTGAGTGTGGCTCTTCCACAAAATACCACGTGCTCGCGCATCTACAGTGCGATTGAAACTTCGTGGCCCATGTGCAGAAGTAGGTATTTTGTGGAAGAGCCACACTCAAGGGGCCAAAGAGCCACATGTGGCTCGCGAGCCGCAGTTTGCCGACCACTGCTTTAAGAGGTGTCAGTGAGAACATAAGTTATGGTCTAATACATAGAAAGAGTAGCAAAGAGCACACTGAGATAAACATTTATTTGTTGAGTACAGGGAAATGTTACCAAGACGATTTCAAATAATCGCTTTCTGAAATAGTTGTAGTTATTTTTTAGAAAGTGCTTTACTCAGTCATACTTTTTTAAAAGTAAATATTGGAGGTAGTATCTATTTGATTTCATAGTTTATTTTTCTAGAAAATCATTCTAATTTATTGTGTCTTATTATCAGAAAAGTAGAGAGGTAGGTCTTTAAAACTGCTTCAGAGATAATGATCAATTTGAAGAAAATTATTTTAAAGTACTGAATTATAAATAAAAATATGTTGATATATAGAAACTGGTGAACCAAAATGTTTATGTGTGTCTGTTAATACTTCCATTTAACTTATAAATGTGCAAATAACTCCTTACAATACTAATGTACAGGTGATTTCTTACCAAGTAGAAGATATTAATTTCATTCCCAATGTCCTCAGTGGAATTGATCACTTCAGGGACAGTCTCGTTGGCCGTGATTGAAATGTGGTATTCACTGGCAGAGCTGGAGGGAGTTAATAGGAAGAAGAGAAGTAAAACACAACAAAGTTTAACTTTTATTTGACCACATTCTCTCTCTTTCTTCATGTCAGGGAACCTCACAAAAAATATTTATTAATAGAGATTTTAAGTCAGAGGCAAGCTCTTTTACCCCAAAGCCGAAAATTAAGTCTTTGAGGGGCGTCAGAAGGATTATACATACTTTAGTTCAATACTCACTGATACTTAAATGGCCTTAAAATGCTAAAAAATGTATAGTGTTTCCAATAAAAATCTCATTGTTACCAAATGAAAATTGTCCATGAATTCATTGATCTCGCATTTAGTGAATAGCGAGGCTAAAATATGGTATTTTTAATATTTTATGACTTTTGAGGAGGTTGAAAAAAGTTGTTACCTTTTCCCTGTTTCAAATTCTACATTTACTGCTAAACTTAAAAATGCAATCGTTTCCATGCAACTTCTCCATGATCTCTGGGTGAACTTAGGATAAAGAATAACACAGATTTTAAGGAGCACTTCCGTTTAGAGCAGACAAATAAAAAATATTTGTAAGTATTTGCCAACATTTGTTTTTATATAAATGAAAAAATTCTTGGGAAAAGAGTCAGTGTCCCAAGAGAAGTGAATATAGCAAAATAAAAAAATAGCCAATAAATGTAAAGGCTAAGAAACAAGCAGAGTCTACATGGATAGCCTACCATCCTCCCATTTTTGTGGTCTATTATCAGTAAAAGGAAAATGCCATAGAAAAGAGAAGAATAAAGTGAGAAGACTTTTCAACTAAATTTCACCCTGATTCTTATACCATTTGCATCCTCTGCACAGCTAAGTCATCCTACATAATAAAGAGGTAATATGCAAATTGACCGTCACGCCCTCACACAAGATGGCTGCCCCCATGTGGTCACAAGATGGCTGCAACAAGATGGCCAGCAGGGGAGGGCAGTTGGGGGCGACCAGGCCAGCAGGGGAGGGCAGTTAGGGGCAACCGGGCCAGCAGGGGAGCGTTAGGGGGTGATTGGGCTGGCAGGGGAGCAGTTAGGGCAGTGGTTCTCAACCTTCTGGCCCTTTAAATACAGTTCCTCATGTTGTGACCCAACCATAAAATTATTTTTGTTGCTACTTCATAACTGTCATGTTGCTACTGTTATGAATCGTAATGTAAATATCTGATATGCAGGATGGTCTTAGGCGACCCCTGTGAGAGGGTCATTCAACCGCCAAAGGGGTCACGACCCACAGGTTGAAAACCGCTGGGTTAGGGGGTGATCAGGCAGGAAGGCAGGTGAGCAGTTGGGAGCCAGCAGTCCCGGATTGTGAGAGGGATGTCCGACTGCCGGTTTAGGCCCGATAGGGATCGGGCCTAAACCGGCAGTCGGACATCCCCCAAGGGGTCCCAGATTGGAGAGAGTGCAGGCTGGGCTGGGGGACACCCTCCCCCAGTGCATGAATTTCATGGACCGGGATTCTAGTAGAAGTATAAAAGGGCAGCCAGGAGCTGTGCTGTGACTCTGAGACCGACCTTTGCGAGGGGCCTGTCTTCCTTGCACTAGACCGGAGTCTGGTCTCCAGTGCCGCCTGTGGCATTGGCACCTTGTGCTTTAGGTTGTTTAGGTGCCGGCTCTCAGACCTCAGAGAGCACGGGCTTCCCTGGAGGGCTGATTTAAGTCGATTCCTGGGCCCACCCCTAGGGTTTCTGAGTCAGAAGGTCTGGGGTGGGGTTGGGGGGGGGTTGCAAATTTGCCTCTCTATAACTTACTAGGAGTTCCGATGCCCTTGGCCAGGGGCCATGGCCACACTCTCAGAAGCCCTGGGTCAGTAGAAAGGCATCAACATAAAAAGGCAGTTTGCATCCAGCCGGCGTGGCTCAGTGGTTGAGCATCGACCTATGAACCAGGAGGTCACGGTTCGATTCCCGGTCAGGGCACAGGCCCGGGTTGCGGGCTCGATCCCCGTGTGGGGCGTGCAGGAGGCAGCCGATCCATGATTCTCTCTCATCGTTGATGTTTCTCTCTGTCTCCCTCTCCCTTCCTCTCTGAAGTCAACATACAGACATATTAAAAAGGCAGTGCACTCCCACCTGGAGAACTGGAGCCCAGCTTCATACTTGACGGGGATAGCGATGCTGGCCTCGTTGTCGGAGAGGGTTTCCGGAGGCTCCTCGCTGTCACTGGAAAACACACGCACGTCAGACAGACACGCACCCACGCCCCTCCCGGCACTGCCGAGCGTGTGGCAGAGAAGCGCAGGCTGGTACCTGAGTAAAAGCACAAAGGAGCTCAATCCCCAAGTTTTCAGTGGGGCGAGGAGGGGGCAGAGGTGACGGCGGAGCAGCTGGGGTGACAGCCACAACGGGTCAGTCCCGCTTCTCAGACTCCAGGGAGGGTAATGACTAGAACCCTTGGATCCATTCTTAGATTCAAGATCATGGGCTTCTCTCCTAGGAATACGGGCTTCCTAGGTCCAAGTTGGGGCGCAGAACTGCTATGTTTTTCGCAGGCGATTCTTAACTATCAGAGATGAGGGCCTTACGGAGACACCACCGGGGTCACCCCACTGAGAGCGAATCTAAAATCTCTGTCTTCACTTAATAGTCTTTCCACAGCAAGCCCTGGACGCTCACAGTATCTGTTAAACTCTTACTCATCCCCTGGATTTAGTTATCATTTCAATGATACGCTCTGTAAACACATGTAGACAGGTGCATACACACATGTACACATACCTGCACCTCACAACCCCCTGTATTACAAAAGCACGGGCGAGCGATTGAACAGTTCCCATCGCTGGCTCTGGGCCAGGGTCCGTGGGCCTGTTCTTGCACATGGACACACTGTGGGCAAGTCATTGACTCTCTGCATCTGGGTTTGCTCACCTACACAACGGGGATTGTATTTAAATAATGGATGACTGAGGAGTGACAAGTGTGAAGTGCTCGACACAGGAAATGTAAGTGTCCGCTTTCATCACTGTTATTACTTTCACACACGCCTCCCCCAGGCGGACAGGAGCCTAGCGTTTGGCCAGGATGGTCGCTGAGGGCCTTACTGCCTCTGCCTTGTTCCCAGCGCATTGAATGGTTGGAAGCAGTGACGGCCCCCGCTTGGGTAGACGTACTTGTGCGACAGGGCTTTTGTTCTGAATCCCCCATTGCCCACTGTGTCCTATAGCAGACAGACACACAGACCCCTGAGAGGCAGCTCCGCGCCTCCACCTCCCTCTCCACGCCGACACGCAGCCCTCGCCATCACACGGCAGGCGCACGCTCGCATGTGCTCGTACATCTGTGTGAAACTGAATTCCCACTGTCCCTCCACGCGGCCTGGTGCTCTCCCTCCCTCCGCGCTTGGGCGCGGGCTGCACATCTGGCCGGAAACGCCCCACCAGCAAACACCACGGACCCCTGTGCTGGCGAATTGCTACCCTTCCCTTAAGGACCTTCTCCAGGACAAGCTCCCTGACCAGGCAGCCCGGGCTCTCCTTGCCCAGGAGGTACGCCTGCCCCCTCCGAACAGTCTCCCACACGGGCTTCTGTTTCTCTCACGGTCTGTCCCATTCTGCCCTGCGTGACAGAATCCACACTCCAGGCTCAGCCTCCGGTGGTAATCTTCACCCGAGGAGAGGTTCGTGCCCTTAGTGACTCTTGCAATCCCTACAGGGACTAATTCAACATCCTGTCCATTGTAGATTTCAAATAAATACTAGTTTCGTTCAAGTGAGTCGTGCACCCAGAATTAATCTATTCATTTATTCTCTCGTTTATTCGTTCACGCTACATGTGTGTGGTGATTATGAGAGGCCAGGCACCATGGCGGTTCCTTGGGAATAAAGCAGTAAGAGGCAGAACTGTACCTCAGGAGCTTCGGGTCCACGGGATGATTACACTTGGGGGAAAGGTAAGCCACTATTTCCCTTTTCGTAGTAACCCTTTTGCTTTTTTAGTCTATGTTCCTGTGCTGTCTTTCGGAAGCGCTGACTGATGTGGATGAGATTTATTAAACTACCGACAGGGGCCATCAAACTAGACCTGCCCAGGGGTTCAGTTGACCGTGATGGGCAGCCAGTGGAAGCTGAGGTTAGCAAGGCCTGTGGACGTGTAAATGAATGTACTGCAGTTTGGCAGAGGTAAGCGATGTGATTACAACATGTTCTGCTAAACAAATGGTTAAACCCAGTTAGAGGATTAAATTGTTTCTACCAAATAAAAGTGTCCTTATTCTGCACGCACACACATACACCAACCTTGTTGCACTTAAGTGGATGGTCACGTTCTCCATGAGATAGGTCGTGTTAAATTGAAATAATATTTTGAAAGTTACCTATAAAATAAAAAGATACAACTTTAGTTTAGGGCCAGATAAAGAAAGCATTTGCTTTGATTAAAATATCCAGTTACATAAATGATATTACCTAAACACAAATCATGAAGTTACTTAAGACATATTATCTTTCAAAATAAAAACTCATCACATCTCAAAAAATGGAATAAGATATGATGTACATGTACTTTTCAACATGAAATGTAATATGCTTTGCATGTCAATATTGAATTTAAACACTTTATTATAATTATATTAATAAATATAACTTATACTACCCATAAAGCATTACCATGAAGGTACAGCCTATTTATTTTATTATATTACCATAGTCTACAAGATCACAATCATAAACAATGTAATTATGAAATGATCACAATGAAAGTCTCTTTGATATAAATCTTCAAATATCAGCAACTATCTATACATATGTATTGTAAAATAGAGGGAAAGATACTTGGTCCCATTAATTTCATAGTGTAAAAAGGTTTTGAATCTTTAAGGGATAACAACAACAAAGGAAAACCAAATAAAAGATGTGGCAATTTAGAATAAACTATTAAAATCCAGTGAGTTTTGCTTACAAAAGTTTGCATAGTTAAAATATCACCTCAGGAAAAATGGAAAATGTGTTGTTATGCTGACACTCGGATAGAGGCAACTTACTGTTAGAAATTGTGCCTGCACATACATATGAATTATGTAATACGTGATTCTTCACAAACACCAAAGGCAGACCAAAAGCTAGGTTTTTTGAAGACATATGCCAACAGCAGAGTTCCCCAAAATGTTACACATAGTGGCCATATAACCCAGCAATTCCATCCCTAGACTTACACCAAAGAGAATCAAAAACATGTGTCCACACCAAAACCTGTACACAGCTATTCCCAGCAGCATTATTCATAGAGGCCAAAAAGTAGCAACAACCTCGATGCCCATCAACAATGGAATATTATTTGTAAATAAAAAGAAATGAACTGCTAATACATCAATGAACCTTGAAAACATTATGTAAGTGAAAGAAGCCAGTCACAAAAGACCACATATTGTATGACTTCATTTATATAAAACTAGAGGCCCGGTGCACGAAATTCGTGCACAGGGGGTAGGGGGTGGGGGAGGAGGTCCCTCAGCCTGGCCTGCACCCTCTTCAATCCAAGACCCCTTGGGGAATGTCTGACTGCCTCTAGCAATCCGGGACCGCTGGCTCCTAACCGCTGGCCTGCCTGCCTGCCTAATTGCCCCTAACCATCTCTGCCTGCCTGCCTGCCTGATCGCCCCTAACTGATCCCCTACCAGCCTGATCACCCCTGACTGCTCCCCTGCTGGCCTGATTGCCCCTAATCGCCTCTGCCTCAGGCCCACACCCGAAACCCAGGATTCCCTCCTCTGGCCGGTTGCAGGCACCGGGACCTGGGCTTCCCTCCCTCTGGCCAGCTGCAGACACCCAGGAGCTGGGCCAGCTTTGCCCGGGCCAACCTCAGCCGCAGGAGACCGTGGGCGGACAGCTTCACCCAGGCCACAGCCGCAGGTGCACGGGACTGCGGGGCAGGCGGCTTGTCCCTCTCCTGGGCTGCAGGCGCAGGCACTGGCGCCCGGGATTGCTGGGACTGTGGGGTGTGCAGATTGTTCCCTGCTGGCCTGGTCACCCCTAACTATCCTCCCTCCCCTGCAATCCCGGTAGGGCGGTGGCTTGACCCTCTCCCCGGCTGCAGGTGCAGGCGCAGCCACTGATGCCGGGGAACATGGGGGGGGGGCAGCTTGTCCCTCTCCCGGGCCTCAGCCTGGCTGATCCCCATTCCTCTCTCGCGAGCTCATTTGTGCCTGGCTTGTCCCCATTCCTCTCTCCCCAGTGTTGAGTGTTTGAGCTGTTAGGGCATGATGGTGTGAGGGTGTGATGACCATTTGCATATTAGCTCTTTATTATATAGGATGTCAGAATAGGCAAATTCATAGAGAAGGAACGTAAATTAGTGGGTGTCCAGGGTTTGGAGAGGGACTGTTGAGGATAAAAGAGTGGCAACTGATAATGTGTACAGGGTTTTTGGGGTGTGTGTGTGTGTGTGTGTGTGTGTGTGTGAAAATGTTCTAAGATGGATTGTGGTGATGGTTGGACAATTGCAATTTGGGAATATACTAAAATCCACTGAATTGTCCACTTTAACGGACTGAATTGTATAGTATATGAATTATATCTCAATGAGGCCTTTATTAAAAAGAGAGAGAACAGCAGCGTTTCTGTACAAAGTTCTAAACAAGCCGTTGGAAAGATTACTGCTCCCACAGGTCAGGAAAGCCTGCTACATAGCACTGCAACACGAGGGCTTTCTAGTACCAGGCACGTCACCCCCTTACGTTTGTGATTCTGTCTTGGTGTCTGAGTTTGACTTGTGCCATAATTGCCATAATTGCCTTTGACTTCAAGAGCTCAGCATTTGAACTCGACCCTCATCGCCAGCACCCTGGGCACCATGAGAAGGAATGATCTATTTGGCTTTGAGTGTGTTCTTCACATCCAGTTGCCACATGCATTGGTACAATCTGCTTACCATTTCTCCTCTCCGCAGGAAAGGGTAGCCCACCTTACACGTGAGGTTATGGTTGGACTCGCAGCTGTCTTTTTGGATCGCCTGGGAAGAGAAGGGAACAGAATTAGAGCAGACGCACAGGTGGAATCCTTGGGCTGGGTCTTCTAGAATTTTCCCAGCTGTCAGATGGGGTTAGTTATACTCTATCCCATTAAATATAAAATGCCATTTACTATGAGACATCAGCCCGGCCGGTGAGGCTCAGTAGTTGAGCTTCGACCTATGAACCAGGAGGTCATGGTTTCATTCCCGGTCAGGGCACAAGCTTGGGTTTCAGGCTCAATCCCGAGTAGGGGGAGCGCAGGAGGCAGCCAATCAATGATTCTCTCTCAGCATTGATGCTTCGATCTCTCTCCCTCCCTCTCCCTTTCTCTCTAAAATCAATAAAAATATATTTTAAAAAATATGAGACATCATTATTTTATACACCAATAATAAGAATAAAATATGCTGACAGACTAATCCACACACCATCAACTGTGAAATGCAACTTCAGAAATGCTAACATGTGGAGGAGAAGAGTCTATCTACTTTAGGATCGCTGCTCTATAGTGATACCTCCACACAAAAGGATGAATGAGGATGAAATAAGGGAGCCGGGATGGAGGTGGCCGAAGAGGAGATGCCACATTGCGGGTGTTGTGAACAAAGTACTGACTTTGTGCATTGCTGTCTGCTCTCCACCGAGGCCATGAATGAGGCAAGGGCTACACAGCAATATTTCCCATCACGACTTTGCACATCTGGATTTATAACTAACATTCCTAACCAAAAATATGTGGCTGTAATGTAGGACGTGTTTTCAAGCCGGTCTTAGTCATGTGACTAAGTGATGTCTTAAGAAATGGAGAAAAATATCTGTGAAAATATAATTTATAGGAACTAGACATTAGAATTTTTAAAATATATTTTTATTGATTTCAGAGAGGAAGGGAGAGGGAGAGAGACATAGAAACATCAATGATGAGAGAGAATTATTGATTGGCTGTGCCTCCTGCACAACCCCTATTGGGGATCATGCCCACAACCGGGGCATGTGCCCTGACCAAGAATCGAACTGTGACCTCCTGGTTCATCGGATGACGCTCAACCACTGAGCTGTGCCAGCTGGGCGACAATAGAATTTAGTATTATAATAACTAGAGGCCCGGTGCATGAAATTCGTGCACGGGTAGTGTCCCTAGGCCTGGCCTGCCATCAGGTTCCCCTGCCTCCCCGCCTCCTCCTTCCCTCACTCCCTCAGTGCCCTGCTGCCGCTGGTCGTCCGCAACGTTCTGTACTGCCCCCTGGTGGTTAGCACATGTCATAGCGAGTGATCGAATGCCCATTCTCCTGGTCGAACTCCCAAGGGGACACTTTGCATATTAGCCTTTTATATATATAGAGATAACTATACTGGCTTTTAAGATGAGTAATACTAAAATTATTATTTCATTCATGATGAATTTACATAAATACATACAGCATTTAAACTCCGGAGGGTTCATTCGGAGATGGGAATTAAAGCTAAGTTTGCATTTGGAAGGATGCACTAAGTACTCCTGATGCAGCATCCGATGCAGCTATATATTGTAGCCAAAATAATTGGAAAACTTCTGGCATGACGAGGAGACACAGGCATTCACACAGCTCTCTCGTCCAGGAAGGACTTCACACAGACAATGGGAATGCGGCCTTGATTCTCTGCAGGTGAATGTTCCTTCGCTCAAGCCCTGCATTACCCACTCCCGGGCATCTGGTGAGCTATTTTGACTTTGATTGTCATGTTTACTTTTTCCTTGACTCAGTGCGTGGAGGATGCTGTGAGACAGAATTTTGATCCATCGGAGATCCCTTCCTCATACTGCGCCCCAGAGGGGGCACCCATCTCTAAAAAATCAATCTAAACTAAAACTCTAAAGAAAATGTGGGCATTTTTTATCAGTAGAGACTACTAATTTTATACAAAATGCTTTCTTTCCTTATAAAATCAATATAATAAAAACTAGAGGCCCATTGCACAAAATTCATGCAGGGTAGGGTCCCTAGGCCTGGCTGATGAGCAGGGCCAATCAGGTTCCCCACCTCCCCACTCCCTACCTCCTCCTTCCCTCACCACCCACCCGCCTGCTTGTGTGCCACCACCATGTGGTTCCCCCTCTGTCCTGCCTCCCTGCCTCACCCTTCCCTTGCTCCCTCAGCACCCCGCTGCTGCCGCTGGTCACCCACCATGTTCCCTGCCACCCCCTGGTGGTCAGTGCATGTCATAGAGAGCGATCGAATTCCCAGTTCCTGGTAGAACTCTGGAGGGGACACTTTCATATTAGCCTTTTATATATGGAGATAATTAGTTCAGCCCTGGCCAGGTGGCTCAGTTGGTTGGAGTGTTGTCTTATACACCAAAAGGTTGCAGGTTTGATCCTGGTCAGGGCACCTACAGGAGGCAACTGATCAATGTTTCTCTCTCACATCGCTGTTCTCTCTCTCTCTCCCTCTCTCTTTCTCTCTCTTGCTCTCAAATCAATAAACATGCCCTCGGGCGAGGATAAAAACAAAATCAGTTCAGTGGTATGAAAAGGGGGTTCAATAAATCATTGTCCCGAGAATCAATGAACAAGAACCAGAAAGTTACCTCGATCCCCGAGAAAACCAGGTTTGGGGAGTAGTGCACCATGGTCCTGGTGTTGTAGGCACTGTCCCCTTTGTTTCTGACGGTGAGGCTGATGTTGAACTTGTCGTTGTGGGACCGGACAATCAGCAGGTCCTTCTCCAGCGTGGACACGTCCAGGGCGACGTCCGAGATGCACTTGTCCTTGTTCCCACAGTCCTTGGCGAAGGGGATCTGAAACGGTCACAGGGGTGTCCTTCAGAATCAGGGACCACCCCCGATGAAGGGGCATGACATACTGACACAGGCACCCCCTCTCCTGCAGGGGGCAGGCTCGCTGCAGAACCACAGGCATGTTCTGTTGGTCCCTAGAATGTGCAGGGGAAAGGGGGAAGCTTCTGCTTTGGGATATAAATTCTCCCCGATCTTTAAACAAGCAGTGTTCGCCGACAGTTTCACCGGCTTCCGTCTGCTGGAGTAGAATGGTTTTATAAAACCAAGCCACGTACACCGAGGTCTAAATCTAGGAGAGCACAGTTTCACACTCAACTGCGACCGTGAGATTCTCTGTTAGAAAGAGCCAAGTCCTTAGGAAGATAACAGAGTCCAGTCGGGGCTGGGCAATGGTCACACCATATAACTGGGAGCTTTCCTGACCCCCTTCACACAGCCCTTCCTCTCTGTCCAGTGCATCACCAGGACGGTCCTTTCTGCCCTCCCCAACCTCCGGAGTCTGTCCTCGCCCTCCATTCCGCCCCCCTCGGCCCCCTCGGGTCCAGCCTCATTCCTCCCTGAACTAAACGAACAGCTTCCCAGCTGGGCTCTGGCACCCCGAGCGGACACAGGTGCGATGACCTGGCTCTACCTGCGCCTCCTGCCTCCGCCCACATGGCCCTCCCCCTGCCCTTCATCTGCAGCTGCAGGTCAGGGCCGAGGTCAGTGTAGTTCTCTCGGGGCCCCAGGACCTCTGCACATGTCCCTCTGCTCAGAACGCCACTCCCTCACTCGCCTGGACAGGACGGATATCCTGTCCCACGGCTCTCAACTCCGGGGAGTGCCCTGACCCCCCAAACCAGGCAGAAGTCCCTTCGGCGCTGGGGGGTCCCCTCCATGGCACACACTCTGCTGACCCCTCCTTCTTGTTTCTGAGCCTGGTGCGTGTGCGACACTCAGTCAATAGATTTGGAGGGAGGAGAGTGAAGACAGGAACCTGGGGGGGGACCAAGGCCCTGTCCCCAGTGTTCTCTGCTCGGCCCCCCTGGGAACCCCTCCTGCACTTGTTCTTTCTCAGCATGGGGCCGGGGACTCTGAACCTGGGGGCTGGGACCTGGGTGGACACAGGTCAGCGCCTCCCCACCTCCTGTCTGGGGCGTGGCGTGCCTGTGGGAAGCACGCTTTCAGCTCCAGCCTCCATCCTGCACGTGTCACGAGGGGCCCAGGAAGAAGGCCGCCATTGCTGAGTGGGGGGTGACCCTCTGGTTACCTGTGGCCTAAGTCCGTTTAGTAGGAGAACACCCATCAGACCAGAATAGTTTCAAAGACCCAAGGTCAAGTGTTTTAATGTTCATTCGTCATAAAAGGGAGCTCCAACCGGCCAACCCATGTCTTTCTTTCAATTCGTCCTGAACTCAGGAGGTAAATACAGGTGTCATATAATTCCCTTAATCTCCAACAAGAGAAAGTTCTAAAAAGTTGGGAATAGTCTACAGAAGTCTAGATTTTTTTAAAAAAACATAATTGATTTAGGTGTTGTTGTTTTTTTTGGTGTGTGTGTATAGGCACCTGCTAGAACAAGCATGTCAAACTCAAAGGCTAACACGGGCCAAACAAACGAGGCATACGGCCCGTGGGCCTCGAGTTTGACATGCTTGTGCTAGAACGATGGAATACAGCGAACCTTGCCGGGCACACATACATATAACCCTAAAATCAATTGTGTGTGTATGTGTGTGTGTGTTTTTATGTATTTCGAGTTTTTCCTTAATATATTCACAAGTAGGTATTCCAAATTTTTAAGAAACGACTTACAGATTCATGTACTGAGTTTGGCAGAGAATCATCAAGAATGGGCCCATTTTCCGGATCGGAAAGATTGAAGTCCAGGGTTATTCTCACAGAGTCCCGAAAGTCATGCTTGTCCTGGAGGTCGAAACATAAAACGGATCATTGGTATCGAATCTCCTGGGTGTCCTGACCTTGTTATGGCGGCTTCTCCTGCCCGGGACCAGCCTCATGGGATGTCCTCCTGTCCCTGTCCTCATCAGGCTGCTTTGCTGGAGACGGGCGCCCTCAGCCTGGACGGGGCCACAGCTGGCAGGCAGAGGCCTCGGTGGTGACCAGCTGCTCCCCCCACCCTCAGAGGGGCCTGCGGGCGGGTTGAACCTCACCACGTGGGACCTACCCCTCAGAGCTACTTCCATAACAATGTCATTCCTCTTGCGACCTTGAGCTAGAAGCCGCTATGTAACACTTCCAGGAAAGTCTCCCCAAAACAGAACAGCAAACTCCTTTTAAATTGGGTTGCATTTCATTAGTATCCTATGTTCCTCGAATTGTAGGAATTGTACGATGTGACTGACAAGGAAACAGTGCTAACACAATCAATACTGTTTAGACTCCCATCAGTAGCAACATCATTTATGGCCTGTCCACAATTATGAGCTTTATACACATTGGCCACTATTTTACAGATGAAAAACTGAACCTCTTAGGCACTAAACAACTTTGCCCGAATCACACGGATGCAAATTCCATCCTGGCTGAGTCCAGAACAAATGTCCGAGCATCCACTGAGATCCTCAAGAATTTCGGAAATCAGGGAACTAGTTCATGCCTTTTAGCACCACTGCTAGACACTGCATTTTGGAGAAACACACACGACTGCCACTCTCAGTGGGTTGGAGGCAGCTCCTCGCCTGGCCTCACCCTCCCCCATCGCATCTAAGCCCCAGCTCCCAGTGTTCGTCCTGGTGGAGCCATGCAAGGGCCAGGCGTGGCCTCCCAGTCATGGATGGATCTTAGTATTGACAGAATACGCTGATTTGATATATATCCTGGGGAGTCTTGACATGAAAATCACGGAGGAAAAGTCTCTATGTTTCAATATCAGTTACTAAAAAGGGTGCTTTCTCATTGCATCCATTCTGCACTGTTTTTTTAAAAAAAATATTTCAAAAACTCTTGCCCTTCGTTGGGAATGCTCCCTGCACAAATGGCGACCCAAGAAAACACATTTGAAACGGTTCACACTAGCTGACCAGCTGTTTCTAGAGATTAATAACGTGCTTTCCACGGCCTCCCCCTCCACTACAGTAGAAAGAGACTTAGGCAGCACAAAGCCTACAGAGGACAGAAAACACCAGGTATTTCCCCTTCAAGTTCACGTCAAAGGATGAAAGTCATAGTTCGGGACAAGCAGTGACCTCAGAAAACAATGGCCCAGCAGTCCCTTCAGGGCATTCATCACTTGCCATCCATATTCGACAGACAAGGCCAATAGAAGGTATGTGTTTTCAAGTTGAAAGGAAGGAAGGAAGGAAGGAAGGAAGGAAGGAAGAAAGGAAGGAAAGAAGGAAGGGAGGGAGGAAGAGACAGAGGAATGAACGAATGAAGAGACAGGCCTCCTACTGACCCATGTACTGTGCCTATTACTGCTCCATACGACTGTAGAGAGCAACTGGGAAGGCACATGGGCATTTCTTTAATTATTGTCAGCTGAATCCAGTAGTGTTGGCAGAGCCATGCCCTGGAAACACACCTTGCCAGAGGCAGGTGAGTTGTCAGCCTGACCTTCAGCTCAGGCACCAGGGGGTGGGTTTCATTATCTAAATCCAGCCAAGCACCAGGAACAAACACGATGATCTGGGCCCACCCAGAAGTGACGATGACAGAGAAGCCACAAGAATGCACATCATCTCCTTTGTCTTGGGCTTTAGTAAAACTCCCTGGTATTTTGCCATATAAGATAAACGCACTGTATCGGCTCTGGGTCACTGTCTCTCCATCAGAGGATGGCTGTCCCACCCGGCCCCAGCTTTTTCCTTCTATCTCTGTGTCTGTCTCTTTCTTTCATTTTCTCAATCCCCAGCAGCCCCTACTCAGGAACTGGACCGCTCTCTAGCCACGCTGGACGCAGAAAAGAGAGAAATATTTACATACGACATGGCTGCCTGTCCCACGCTCAGGGGAGATGAAAGATGGCTTTATAAATTGTACCTGGACATTAGCAGATTGTACCTGGGACTTTCTGATGTAAGTGAACAAATAGAACAAAGTTTATTCCTGATGTGCCCTTTGAAGGAAAACAGGAGGATGTGGTTGACCTGGAGTCAGATACCTATGCTTTATTCCGAACGCAGAATGGGCCGCGACACGCTATGATTTACTTGCCAACATGTAGAAGAAGTGCTGGGTGCATTTTGACTCGCGCACAGTGATGTTCCTCTGGGTCTTCCTCTCCTGGGTCCCAGAGAAGAAACTGCGTGAGATCTGCCTCAGCGAGTCCAGGGTGACGCGGTACTGCAGGTCTGTGAGCAGGCGACAGAGGTGGGGCTGACTTTCACAGGACCCGGCTCATTCAGTGAGCACGACAGGAAGCCCTCCTGGGCAATCAGTCACCAGAAAGCCCCTGTCACTCAGTATATCCCACTACCTAGCACGACGAAGATTACTTGAGGAACTCATAGAATTGATCTGTGTGTTCACTATACTTTTAATGTTTTTAATCACACTTATTCTGTAACTAGAGGCCCGGTGCACAAAATTTGTGCATGGAGGGGGAGTCCCCTCAGCCCAGCCTGCACCCTCTCCAATCCGGGACCCCTCAGGGGATGTCCGACTGCCAGTTTAGGCCTGATCCCTGTGGGACATCCCTCTCACAATTCGGGACTGCTGGCTCCCAACCATTCGCCTGTCTGCCTGCCTGATTGCCCCTAACCACTTCTGCCTGCCAGCCTGATCACCCCTAAACACTCCCTGCTGGCCTGGTTGCCCCCAACTTCCCCCCACCCCTGACCGACCTGGTCACCCCTAACTGCTCCCCTGCTGGCCTGGTTGCCCCCAACTGCCCCCCCACCCGCCTCGCCCCCCCTCCCTGCCCCCCCCAC